CTTGCCATCCTAAATCCATCCCTGAGTCCCAGGCAGTGGAAGTGACTGACTCCCCAAAGCTGTCCTCTGACCTCTCCACACACCTGGGCATGCACACACCCACGTGTACACTCATACATGGGCACATTAACAATAAAAATAAATCCTACTGTTACTACTGTGTGGCCCTGGCTGACTTAGAACTCATTATGTAGACTCAGGTGGCTTCAAACTCTCAGAGATGAATAAATGCACTGCCTCTCAAATGCTGAGATTAATATATATTTATGTTTTTGTTGTTCTTATTTTGTTTTGTTTTTTGAGACAGGGTTTCTCTGTGTTAACAGTCCTGGAAACTTGCTTTATAGATGAGACTGGCCTCAAAGTCACAGAGATGAGTACATATACTGCCTCTCAAATGCTGAGATTTATATTATATATTTTGTTTGTTTTTTTTCTTTTTTCTTTTCTTTCTTTCTTTTTTTTGTTTTTTGTTTGTTTGTTTGGGTTTTTTTGGTTTTTGTTTTGTTTTTCGAGACAGGGTTTCTCTATAGCTTTGGAGCCTGTCCTGGAACTAGCTCTTGTAGACCAGGCTGGCCATGAACTCATTCACCTGCCTCTGCCTCCTGAGTGCTGGGATTGTGTGTGCCACCCACTGTCCAGCTTGTTTTTGTTTTTCAAGATAGGGTTTCTCTGTGTAGCTCTGGCTGTCCTGGAACTCACTCTGTAGACCAGGCTGGCCTCATACTCACAGAGATCCGCCTGCCTCTGCCTCCTCTACCCCAGCTTTTTTAAAAAATGTTTTAAGAAAGCATGTCAGGCAGTGGTGGCACACGCCTTTAATCCCAGCACTTGGGAGGTGGAGGCAGGCGGATCTCTGTGAGTTCGAGGCCAGCCTGGTCTACAAGAGCTAGTTCCAGGACAGGCTCTAAAGCCACAGAGAAACCTGTCTCGAAAAAAAAAAAAAAAAAGAAAGAAAGAAAGAAAAGGAAAAAAGAAAGAAAGAAAAAGAAAGTGTAATATTCTATCCTATCCCTTTAAGAGACAAGCCCCACCCACTCCCTACTGGCGTGCTGAGGCAACAGACCTTCCTTCAGCTTCCAGCCTGAGTCCCTTCCTTTCTGTCTCTCTCCAGAAGAGGAAGTTTCTACCTCTCTCCCTTCTCCCCACTTCTCCCCTTCCCTCCTCCTCCTCCTCTCTCTCTGTTTCTCTCTTTCTCTCTCTCTCTCTCTCTGTTTCTCCCTTTGCCTCTCTCTCTGCTCTTCTCCCTTCTCCCCTTCCCCCCCTTTTCCTTTCCCCTCTATAACCCACTAAATAAATACCCCACTTTCTTTGCATGGCATGCCTAGTAGGTCTCTGTCTCTCACCTGCTGTGTGGCTCCCTGCCTGGGACTGGCTGCCTTCATGGCTCCCCACCCACTGTGGTCTCGTGGTCCCACTACAGCCACTCAGGGAATGGCACCATTTTATTTTTACCATAGCATTTGGGTCCCAAAGAAACACCGGACAGTTCCACACCACAAATCCTGGGCAGGAGTAAAGCAACCAGGTACCCCAGGATGTGACCAGCACCCAGCTTTCTCAGGTTCCCCCCACAAGACAACACCCCCAAATAAGCAGAAAGCAGTCTTGAGAATATGCCATCCCAGTTCCTTTAACCTGTTGTGCCTAACTTCCCACCTTTTTATTAAAAGAAAGAGATGGGAATGTTATGATCTGCTGGCCTAGTCTGTCACCTGGGTACCCTGTCCCTTTAAGAGACAGACCCCTTGAGGGCTGGAGAGATGGCTCAGAGGTTAAGAGGTTCTGAGTTCAATTCTCAGCAACCACAAGGTGACTCACAGCCATCTATGATGAAATCTGGTACCCTCTTCTGGTGTGCAGGCATACATGCAAGTAGAATGCTGTATGCATAATAAATAAATAAATAAATAAATAAATAAATAAATCTTTAAAAAGAGAGAGAGACAGACCCCACCCTCTCTCAACCCCTCCCCTTCCACTGAGGGAAGCAGATATCCTGCCTCCTCCAGCCTTCTCTCTCCTGAAGACGTAACTTCTCTCTCTCCCCCCATCTCTCTCTGTCCCCTACCTCTCTCTCCTCCCTTCCCTCTTTCCTTTCCCCTCCATAACCCACTAAATAAACTCTATACCCAAACTCTCTCTCTGCATGGCGTACCTGTCTTTCTCTCACCCACCGCTGTCTTCACCCACCAAGGTGACCCACCAAGGCCTCATGGGACTCGCCGAGGCCTTGGGAACCCACCAAGGTCCCAGGTGGCTCACTACAGCCTCTCGTAGTACCACTGCCCCTCATGGCACCAGGCCCCCACCACTCTATCTTTATAAAAGAATAACAGTGAGTAACTGAGGCCAGTTTAGGGGTTGAGGCTGGTGGACAGCTAGGAAAGAAAGGGAGACATGGTGGCGAGCCTGTGGGATCCTTCAAGCCTGTAAATCCACACAGTAAAGTAAGTAATTAACTGAGCACAGAACGTTAGAAGTCACGTGGAGTTGGGTGTGGTGGCCTCTACTGTAACCCTAGTAATCAAAGGTGGAGGCAGGAGAGGGGAAAGGTCAGGGTCATCTTTGGCTATCTGACGAACTTGATGCCAGTCAAGGCTACTAGAGACCCTGTCTCAAGAGGAAAAAAAAAATTCCGTGGCTCTTTCTGGCTACCTTGTTTTGAGTTTTGTTCTGTCACATTTGAGACATGGAAACTTAGAAATACTTCTCTATAGGAAACAACAGCTAACGTTCAGTTGGAATGCCAGGGACAAAGCATGGAAAACTGGGGTCAAGGGTCATGTATATCTCGATTCAAGAGACTGGCTTGCTCAGCTCCACCTGCGGCTGCCTCTGTGTCAGATAACCCAATTTTCAGTATGTTAGAAACCCAGGTTTTTAAGTGAAATGACCAAACTGAAAGTTGCATTTTTAGGGCTGGAGAGATGGCTCAGAGGTTAAGAGCACTGGCTGCTATCCCAAAGATTTTGAGTTCAATTCTCAGCAACCACATGGTGGCTCACAACCATCTGCAATGAGATCTGGTGCCCTCAACTGGCCTGCAGACATGCATGCACGCAGAATACTGTATACATAATAAATAAATCTAAGAAAGAAAGAAAATTGCGTTTTTTTTTTGAGACAGGGTTTCTCTGTGTAGCAGTCCTAGCTGTCCTGGAACTAGCACTTGTAGACCAGGCTGGCCTGGAACTCACAGAGATCCTCCTGACTCTGCCTCCTGAGTGCTGGGATTAAAGGCGTGCGCCACCACCACCACCCGGCAAAAATTGCATTTTTTTTTGTATGTACCCATCTTATTATTTCAGCACTGCTCTGTTATCATCCTTAAGCCTCGTAGTGGTTCTTCCTCTCTCCTTTTTTTTTTTTAACTGAGTGTATGTGCATGAGTGTGCGTGTGCCACTGTGCATGTGTGGAAGTCCAGAGCTGGTCCCTTTTACCACGCAACAAGTGCCTTTACCCTCTGAGTCATCGCAGAGCTCCTTATGGCATTTCTTTTTCTTGTTTTATTTCTCTGGCCAGACCTCCACTGCCATGCTGGAGTCATGCTTAAAATGAATCCCAGCATAAAGGAATCTATCATAGGTTTCCCCTTGTAGTACATTTTTGCCATAATTTTTTTTTGTTTTATTTTTAGTTCCTTTTAATTTCACTATTTTGGCTTATTTATTACTTTATTATTTTGAGATGAGGTTTTATGTATCCCAGGCTGGTCTCCAAATTGCTATATACCCAATGATGACCCTGAACTTCTGATTCTCCTGCCTTCACTTCCCATATGTTGAGGTTACATGTGTGCCACCACTTGGTTTTATGGGATATTGGGGATTGAACCCCAAGCTTCACACATGCTATGAAAACACTCAGCCTTTTCTTTCTTTCTTCGTCTTTCTTTTTCCTTTTTCCTCTGACAATATAACTCTGCCTGGACTAGAACTCACTATGTAGAGCAGGCTGGTCTCGAGCTCACTAAGATTTACCTGCTTCTGCCTCCCAAGTGCTAAAATTAAAAACATAAGTCACCAAACCAGGTTATTAGCAATATTTTTTGAAACAGGGCCTTGATATGTAGACCTGACTGACCCTGAACTCTGAGATCTGCCTACCAAGTGCTGGGACTAAAACATCAGTGGTGGCCCACGTCTTTAGTCCCGGCACTTGGGAGGCAGAAGCAGGCAGATCTGAGTCTAAGGTCAGCCTGGTCTACATAGAAAGTTCTGGGACAGTCAGGGTACACAGAGAAACCCAGTCTCAGGGACACACACTGAAAGACCACAACTCAGCTTTAGCTGCAAGTTCCGTCGTTTTGCAAAGGTTCAAGACAAACAAGCTCAGTTTAAAAAAATCACCGGAATGCTGAGCAAAGCAGTATACCTGAGGTCAGAACGAGGGCAGCCTTATTGGGCTGCAGGACAGGAGATTTATGATCAGACATCTGGCCTGGGATGGGAACAAAAACTTCAAAGACAACCATATGTACTTTAAGATAGGGTCAGGTCAGTTATCTGGTTTCTTTGATGCAGGCCAAGGACCATGGGACCTGCCCTCAAATTCACCCCTCGCCTCATTCAAACTGGCCAATGAGATCCCTGTAACCCCGCTTCTGCTTCTGTACCTTGCTTCTGCCTACCCCAAGCCCTATATAAGCTACCCCAAAACGCAGCCCGGGGTGCTCAGTTCTCCATGTGACTGCAGCACCCACAGGCCTGTGTGAACAATAAAAATTGCCTCTTGTTCTTGCATCCAGTGGCTCGGACCTGGTTCTTGGACAAGGGTCTCCATGCGTGTAAGACACCCTCAGGGTGCTCTTTCAACACACACACACACACATGCACACAAAGCATTCACATCAAGTCTGTTTGAAACGTGTGGTCTTGCCATGGCAGCTCAGGCAGAATTTGAACTTACTCGGTAGCCAAGTTTGACCTTGAATTTGTAATCCTACACCTGTCTGGTATTTATTCATGTATTTACCTTGATTTATCTTCTTTGGCAGTGGTGAGGATTGAACCCAGGACTCCACGTGTGTGAGACAAGTGCTCTACTACAGAGTATACCTCCAGCCTCAGTACCACTATTTGAGAATGTCAGCTTTTTTCTTTTTTTCTAACATGGTGAATGCCTGTCTGTTAACTGGATTCAACCCAGCAGTTGCCAATCTGTGTTCTTCAGTTTACCTATTTTACCCCCCTGAATTACAGCATCAAACTCTGTGAGACCCTCATTCCTTATTCTCAAAGGAACGAGAAGGAATTTCCTAGCAGGGTGTTTTAAAATCAAAAACTCCAGACTAGCTTCATGTTCCCAGAAAAGATAGCATGCCCCGGGCCCCCCCCCCCCACACACTTGGGAAATTCCAAAGCACAAGGATGCCTGGCCACCTGGTGGATACTGATAACTGATAAAGACGTCCTGACTCAGGGACATGGTGACCTTGCTCTGAAAACAAAGAACAAGCTGACGTAGCAGGATGGGAAAGAACAAAGACCTTGCTTGCACTCGTGCAAATCCCCCTGATGGTCCTGAAGGGCTTGTAGTTTTTGCCTTTAAAAAGCTAACCCCACAGAGGGATTCGAACTCCTCCCTGCCTCGCTGTTTCGAGTGTGGAGATGAGTTCTGAGCTTGCCTGTATTATGCTAACAATAAACCTTGTTTATTGCAATCTGGACTTCTCCGGTTTCTGATGGTTGCTCTGGGGTCGTAATCTGGGCACAACACCTCATCAGGTAGCATACTGTGGTGGTTTGGATGGGAATACCCCACATAGACTCGTGATTGGATGCTCGGGCCAGAGAGGGTGGTTCTATTAGGAGGTGTGGCCTTGGAGGAAGTGTGTCACTATGGGGCGGGTTTTGAGGTCACCTATGCTCGAGCTACACCCAGTGTCACAGTTGCTTCTGCTGCCTGCAGATGAAGACAGAACTCTCCAGCTCCTTCTCCAGCACCATGTCTGTCTGCACACTGCCGTCTCCTACCAAGGGGATAATGAACTAAACCTCTAAAACCATAAACCACCCCAATGAAATGTCTCTCCTTATTAGAGTTGCTGTGGCCATAGTGCCTCTTCACAGTTATAGAAGCCCTAAGACAGATCCTGTTCTTTCCATTGGCTGAGGAGGTTGAGATTCAGAAGCATTCACGCCACGGTCTAGAAAGCACAGTGCCGGGATTCAAACATACCCTACCTGACTCCAGTCTGTGTTCTTTCTGCATTAGGACGGGACCCGGATGCTCAGCCTCTTTACACTGGTTGTCCAGCAACCTGGGGGCTCTTCAAGGTGCTTTGGATCCTCTGCCACCATTTCTCTGTGACCCCTGATGAAGGGCTTTCTTTCCTCTGCGGCTCAGTCTCCACCTGCTAACCTAGGGGTACATGTGTCATCCAGACTCCAGTGGTGCCCAGCTTCCCTCACCATTTCCCAGACCAAATCTGCCTTATTCTGTGATCTGTCTCTGCCACTTACCTGCTCCGTGGCTTTGGCCTGATAACCCCTGAAGTCCCCATTGCCTTATCTCAGCTGACAAACTGGATTCAGTGCCTAACTTGAGTGCTTAAAACAATGGCAAGGCCATGGCAAGTGAGTTTTCATGAGTTATGGAAAACACGTGAGTGCGCGAGTGCTGCTGGGAACAGAGCTCTAGCTGAGCGTGAACGCAGACGTGTCAACATTTCCCTGAGTGGTCCCGCTCCAGTCTAAAAACAGGCTTTCTACCTCCCAGGACACCTCTGATATATAGAGAATAAAAGCCAAATTTCCTCTACCTAAGGTTCTCTCTCATTCATCACCAACTCATAGCTCACCTGTCAGCAGAGCAGAGTGGCTAGGAGCCTGAGGAAGCAGGTCACGCTGGCTTGACTCCCAGCTCTGCCACTTGCAGGCTGTGTGAGCTTGGGCAAGGAGCTCTGCCTCTCTGTGCCTCTGCTTCCTCAACTCTAAACTCGGGAAAGCAAGAGCCTGTAACCTAGGCTGACCTGAAGCTCAAAATCCTCTTGCCTCAGCTTATTTATTTATCTATTATTTATTATGTATACAATATTCTATCTGTGCGTATGCCTGCAGGCCAGAAGAGGGCACCAGACCTCATTACAGATGGTTGTGAGCCACCATGTGGTTGCTGGGAATTGAACTCAGAACCTTTGGAAAAGCAATGCTCTTAACCCCTGAGCCATCTCTCCAGCCCGCCTCAGCTTCTTGAGTGCTGCCGACTGTTAGAGTTACCACCCGTCTGGGCAAGCCTGCTGCTATGTGATTCTCCCTGGCTGGCTATGGCATGGGAGCTATAGGGCATATCAGCCTGTGCTTTAGAGGGGAGTACTGCCCCTTCGGGGCTAAGAAAGGAAACACTAAGGCTCAGGCTTGAGCCTTTTGGACACGTCATTGATAAAAACATTTATTGAGATTTATTGAGCAGTTTCCAAGCCGTGGGTACTGGTGCAGCCCTTTGTCCTCAGGACGCTCTAAGAGGTAGCACTATATCAAGTCCTGTTGTACAGGTGAGGAACGTGGAGCAGAAAGGTGAAGCGTCTTGCTCGAGGCCACACTGGGACGGACATCTGAAGCCAGGTCTGGCGGCTAGCTACACTCTAAGCCCAGGTTGAGTGCCACTTACATACTCACCTAACACAGTCCTCTGAGGATGCCATGAGGAAGTGTTCAGCCAGCAGAAAGAGCAGCCCGATCTGAGGCCACCCCAGGTAGCCTGGATAGGTGGGTAGAACCACCCCGCCTTCTCTTGGCTAAGACCCAAGTACCAGCCTCCATCACTCAGCCCCTGGGCATCTCATGTTCTGACTATCTCTCTTTTTGTTTAATTTTTATCTATTTATTTTTAAATTATTTATTTTTATTTTATTTGCATTGGTGTTTTGCCTACATGTATGTTTGTGTTAAGGTGTCAGATCTTGGAATTGCAGCTACGGTTGTGAGGTGTCATGTGGGTGCTGGGAATTGAAACTGGATCCTCTGGAAGAGCAGCCAGTGCTCTTAACCACTGAGCCATCTCTTCAGCCCAGGCCATCTCTCTTACCACTGCTATGCCCTAGAGCTATGGTGCTTGCCTCAGGCCCTGTGAGTGCTACGGGGCTCAGCCGATCCGCAGGGCATTGGAGGACAGCGGTGGCATAGGGTTGATACATAACTTCCAAAAGGGCTTGTGCCAATGGCCCCCCACCCCGGGAAGTCCAGCCTGGTCACTCTGAGGCCTGGATGTAGACCGGAACAGCAAGCATGGCACATGCACCCTCAGCCCCAGCCTGCAGCTCGGCCAGTGCCAGGTTGGACCCCAGACCCTCGGTGTGCCCGGGCACCACCAGCTCTGGGTCTCCGCCCACCACGATGGACAACACGGCGTCCTGCTCGAAGGGTGGCTTGCCTGGAGCAGCCTCGGGTGCGGGCCCTGCAGCCTTCAGCTCCTCCAGCCCCAGTGGGTCGGGCACAGGGCTTTCCTCCTTGTGCGCACCCACGATGCTGCCGCCACCACGTGGGGCTGCTCTCCTCCGGGGAGGCCTCCGGGCTTGCAAGTCCTTGTCCTTCGTGGGGCCCAGGCGGCAGCGGTGATCCTTGAGGTATTTGTGTCGCGAGAAGCCCTTGGCACAGCCGGCGCAGCGGAACTTGTAGTTGCCTGTGTGTGAGCGCTGGTGTTCGGCCAGGTGGGCTCGGCGGCTGAAGGACTTGCTGCACAGCGCACACTTGTGGAGCTTCAGGCCTGGGGAGGGGGGGCTGTCAGGGAGAGGCAAAGCCCCTCACCCCACACACGTCCCACCCAGGAATAACTGAAGCCGACAAGTGTCTGTGTGGCCAGGCCTCACCTGGCTCCACTGTCCCCTGTGACTTCCCCCACACTGTGCATCCTCTTGCCCCTGGGCCTTTGCACCTGCTTCCCCCGTGTCTGAAATAATCTGCTTAATTCTTAAGCCTTGGTGGACTCTGTAGGTCACACCACTTCTCCCTGGATGGCCAGAGGCAGCCACCTCCTCTGGGCTGCTGGCCTCACCTGTGGCCCTTAAGCCACTGCCAATGGGAGAGAGAGATGTTTTGTAAAGCACAAAACAGTAAACGGCTTGGTGCCTAAACCCTGCTCTGAGGCCCTTTCCTACAAACCAGGGTGTGGTCTGCCCAGCCCCTCCTCCACACCCCCACCTCTCCCACCCCACCCCACTCTGGGCTTTCCTTATCCAGGGGCCTGCACCTGTTCTCCCTTCCTAGCTCCTCTCCCTCCTCAAGCCTAGACTCTGTGGAGGACCTCCCTAATTCTACACCAACCCTGCTGGGCTAGGCTCCTTCTGTAAATGCCTTCGCCCTTCAGCCTCCTGGGGTTGGGGGCCCCAAAGGAGCAGCTGCTTGCCTGAGACCACCCAACAAGAAGCTGGCAGCACCAAGGCTCAAGCCTTGTTCAAAGTCAAAGTCCTTCATCAACTCTCCCCCATTTCCGATTAAAAAAGGAGGGGAGTCTCACATAGCCCAGGCTGGCTTTGAACTTGCTATGAAGCCAAAGATGACCTTGAACTCTTGCTTCTAGTCCCCTAGTTTTTGTCACCATGCATAGTTTATGTGTAGTTGGGAATCAAAGCCAGGGCTTTATACATGCCAGACAAGTGCTCTACCAGCTGAGACATCCTCCAAGTCTACACTGCCATTTTCAAGCTTTTAACAGAAGCCACTTTATCTCCACAGGAATTTTTGGAGACAGTTTTGGTTGTTACAATAAGGAGAAGATGTCACACTGACATACCATGGATGTGGGGTGGGCATGAACAGTGGATGGGGGCAGCATGGGCAGTGGATAGGGGGCTGGGCATGGACAGTTGATGGGGCTGGGCATGGGCAGTGGAGGGGGTGGGCATGGGCAGTGGAGGGGTGGGCATGGACAGTGGAGGGGTGGG